TTTTTTTTTTTTTTTTTTTCATAAATCTCCATAATACATTTAATTCACTTATTGTTTAATTCATTACCCCTTCCACCTGGAGGTACCAGTTAGGGGGCTGGTTTTCCCACTACTTTCATCTTGCCTTTAAAGCTCTTCCTTCAACTCTTTGGGGTTCCCTACCCCAAGGTTTGCCACAGAGCAATTCTAGATTTTCTCCATACCTGTGCATTTACTAGTCTTGGAAAAAAAATAATACTAAAATAAGAACATGCGCGAGAATTGCACATTTTACATAAGGACTGCAGCTGGTTCCACTAGGGAAGAAACTCAGCCTGCGGCTGCGATGGGAAGAGGAGGCAGGAGACACTCGAGCATCCTCTGTACGGCCCAAGCAGGGAAATATAGGTAAGAACAATAAGATAAACGAATGATAATAAGGTAAATAAAACCCTGCGCTTCTACAGGAGCTTCGTGGTGCCGTGGGCAGTTCCAGGTCGAGGGAGCAGCGCGGAGAGACGAGGAGAAACCTGTGGACCAGCCCCTGCCAAAGGGGGAGCCTCGGCACAAGCTGCCTGGGAGGCAGATGTGAGCCGGGGAAGGGTCTGCTGCTCTCGTCTTTCTTTCCGTTTCTAATGACGATTTCGTGCTATTTTCATGGGAGATTTTGATGCATAGTGGAGTTGCAAAGAGTTAAAATGGAAAGCAGCATTTGCACGTTCAAAACTACATGCGACAAAGTCGGCAGCTTGAAGCTCGGGTCCCTTCCCTCCTTCCGCCCCCATGCCACCTTCCAGCAATCATTTATTATAAAGGGGTTTTATGATACAAATTTGATAATCTCCCATACACATTGGCACTGTTCTAATTGGAGTTGTAAGCCCATAAAATTCAAGCCCTTTGTTTTCATGAAGGCCACAAGGTTTTAAAAGATACTATTGTACCGCCTAAAACCCATAAAATTGTCACTAGGGACTGATTAAACAGTCCTGAATTGAAASAGTGCGGATTTTGTCTAGGTCCTTTTCAAGCATGACAATGCTCTTTTCAACTCCCAAGACAAAAGAAGGTTTAAGGAGCGATTCTCTGGGAGATTCTTCTAAGATAACCCCATCCATATGGGAGACAAGGTGGCCAGCAGCTGAGATGGAAAACAGGGGGAGGGGAGAAGATTTGGGAAAGGATATAGCTGGAAAAAAAAAAGGGGGGGGGTGAGCCCCCAAAACAGGTGATAGAGAGGCTATATCCCCCTGTGTCCTTCCTGCACGTCCCAGAAGCTTGGTCCCGTCCGTATCTCGCCGTGGCACCTGGCGCCGGCGCGAGCCCGGCCCGGGATGATGCTGGGAGGGGATGCAGGAGCGAGGACAGCGCTCACTCCGTCCTACCCCGCCGTCGGGGTCCGTTCCCCCCGCGGAGGGAAGGCAACTCCGGGCAATCAGGTGCTGCCAAGATAGGGCAGCGGAGCGGGAGGACACGACACAAACCAGACAAGGCATCTGTTCAGGCGTTCCCCGCCACCCCCTCCCCCCCCGCGCACCCCTAGGGAAACAACAGCTTCTCCCCTCGGGGTTCCTCGCAGGGTTTTGTCGGGGTCTGTCCCCGGAGCGGGCGGTGGGGACGCGGCCGTGGCCAGCGCGGAGCCCTCTGCGCTCTGCAGCCTCCCCTAAGAGAGTAGGAGGCCTAGAAGGATGGTCGTCCCCGAGCATCCTCTCTGGTCCCGATTCTGGGTTCCTCTTCGCGGCATCTCTGGATCGGCGGAGGTTCATCTACCTCGAAACAGCCCATCTGGTCTATATTTTAATGATACCTAGGTTTTAAGGGAATGGATTTTCCTTCCCTTAAAGGTTAGCAAGACAATTATAAGATTTTTTTTCCAGTTAATAAAATCGATCAGTTTACCAAAGCATTTCAAAACGTATTTCTCTGGGCGCTAAAAGGTGTTACACTCTCTAACTACCCTCCCATCCTAGACCCGTAGAAAAGACTCCGTCTAATGTGAATAGTGACCCGAGTCAGGAGTCCTGTTTTACAGGGTCTAAAAAGGAAAAATAATAGCAAGGAAGGGGCGCCCCGCGACGGTGCCAGAGCACGGCCCGGGCCGGGAAGGAAGTGCGGACGCGGAGCCTAGGCATAGGGAGGTAAAATGAGATGAGCTCTAAGGTGAAATTTCGAGTAGCGAATTTTTAAAAAGGTATATTGGCTTTATATATGGTGTGAGTGGYAATCCAATGAGAAAGCCCCTAGTAGTCAAAATACACTTTCCCGCTGGGAGGAAAAAAATAGTTGCCAAAAATCAGTTTATTAGTCACTGCAAGAATAACCTATTTCAAAATAATCTAGATTGCTAGGATATTTTATGTTTTAAACAGGAGACCCGTGGAAACGAAGCGCGAGGAGCAGAGACTCTAGGGCAAGAGGGGCACCCCGGCCCCGCGCCCTCGGGCGGCGGGGAGGAACGGAAGGAGGGAGGGGGCGGCGCGGAAGAGCGCTCCGCGCCCCAGGGCGCCCCGCACCGCGGTGCCGCCCGTGCCTGGGCTCGCTGGCCGCGGCGCCCTCCGCGCACCGAGATGTCGGCGCTGGTGACGGGCGCCCGCGCGCCCTTTGCGATGAGTCCGGCCCCGCGGGGCGAGGCGCCGCTATCACCAGCTCCACGAGACTATGGCGGGATGTGCTAAGTGCTGGTACGCGGGGAAGACGCCGAGCGCGGCGGAGCCGGGCGCGCAGCCCTGGTAGCCCTGCACGGAGAGCGCAGCCTGCGCGCTGCAGCCCGCCAGGGCGCAGGCGAGCTTGGGGCGCGCGGGCGCCGGGGGGTGCTCGCCGTCGCGCACCAGCACGGGCACGGGCACCACGAGGCGCCGCAGCAGCGCAGGCGGGCGCGGGGGGCTGCCCGCACCCTCGCTGCGCGCCCGCTTCATCTTGTAGCGGTGGTTCTGGAACCAGATCTTCACCTGCGTGGGCGTGAGGCTGAGCAGCCGCGCGAGCTGCTCCCGCTCGGGCGCCGACAGGTACCGCTGCTGCCGGAACCGCCGCTCCAGCTCCAGCGTCTGCGCCTTGGAGAAGAGCACTCGCCGCTTCTTCTTCTTCTCGGCCTCCGAGGCGCGGGCCGGCAGCGGCCTCTGCGTGGGATCGGGCGGGCTCAGCTCCGGGCCGCTCTCGTCGGAAGCTGCGGACAGCGAGGGGTTAGCGGGAGGGAGCAGCCCGCCTATAGCGCCCAGCAAGGGGCGCGGGTGCCGGCTTCGGCGGGACGGTGCCGTTCATCCCCATCGCCTCCCGCGAGGAGAGCCCCGGGTGTTTGCCAGCCGGAGTTAATCCCAATAGTCAATAAGAGATTTGATCTAGCCCCSCGAATACATTAAACTTGCCCATAACTTGGGACGCGCGAGGGTGCAGGGCTGCGTTCGCCCACTGCCGCTGGCCCCACTCCGTCCTAGGGATCTCAGCCTTGCTCCCCTCCTGCTGCTCCACCACTTGAGTGTGTAAAATATCTCGATGGGGCTCCGGCATCCATCCAAAGCGGAATTCTCCCCCCGACCGGGCTCACGCACTCACACACGTATTAAAAGCTATATATCTGTGGATGCAATTTACGGGCGTGCGGTAAATGCACTGCACAACTGGCCTTATCGTCGCAGCCTGTTCTTGGCCGTGGCAAGAACGCAATTTGCGCACTCCACTCCACCGGCTTCCCGCTATCCTGCGTGATGCTGACCCCCAGCTCCAAAAGGCAGAATTTCTTGCAACAGTGAAACGGGGGACACGGATCCGGCAGGCGAGCTTGAAGGAGAAGCGCAGCAGGAGAAGGGCAGGAGGAAGGCGCTGCCGCCAGTGAGGACATGGACAGACCCGCCGTTAAAAAATCTTATCTCTTACAAGCTCGGGATGTGGCCGAGATGTTCCTGCTGTTTCATTGTTGCAATTTCGTAATATTCTATAAAATCCCCGGCCTGGATCCCCCCGGTCGTGTAGGCTACACACACTGAAGTTCCGCATCTTCGTAACTTCCCCAAAGGAAAGAGGAACAAATAATAAAAACCTCAATAATAACAACAATAACAAAAAAAAAAAAAAAATCACCGGAGATGGACAACTCCTGTCTGTTTCATACTCACAGGGATAGTGACTTCTGTCTGTTTCTATCCACCCTCGATATGGCGAGCTGCTGTAGTTTTCCGCTGAGTGGTGGTGATGAGAAGGTTGCTTTATGTTATTAGCATCTTGCTCTGGTAAATCCAAAATGCTCCTCACTGTAAAACTGATCCTGCCAGATGTGGCCATAGTAGATTGTGCACACAACCCCTCCAAAAAAAAAAAAAAAAAAAAAATGTCCCCAAACGCCCTTCCTGAAAAGCTCCAAGGAAAGGACTGTGCACGGTTTAGTGGGGAATCTCCCGGCTCAAGAGGACCTTCCCTTCCATCGCCACCTAAGCCCAAATATTAGTGTCGTTTACAGAGGTGTCCTGTTTATATAAACAGTCCTCCCCACTGCAAACACTGCCTGCTTTCAAACCGTCCCTGTCTATAGGATGCTAAGTACCTGAATTAGTCAAGTGCTAAAGCCCTAATGGGAGTAGGTGTAACCCCCCTCCCGTCATCCCCATGAGAGAATAACCCGTTACCTCCCAAAGACAGCAGGAAACAGGCTTCATCATTACATATTCTGTCTGATTAGCCAAAAGTGGGGACAGATAATGGTAATTGTTAGCAGTGAATAACATCTTGGGTGGCATGTGGATGACCAACAACCACCCCCCTCCACCCGCCACCAAAGCCACCAGAGTCCTTCTATCCGCAGACAAAGTGAATCCTCCCAGGACATCCGCAGAGCTCGCCGAGAGCTCCCTCCCCGCTTCTGCCTCTTTATTCCCCCTCTCTTTCCCGCTCTCTTTAAACAAGGAAGAAATTTAAGCCGTTATTTGTTGTATTTCCCCGATAATTTGCTGCGGTGCATCCAGCGCTGCCCCCGGTCACGGACAGGTTTCCTACCCGCGGCGGGGATTTTTTTCACACCTGCGCTTTGCTCCGCGCGGGGGAAGGCGCCGAGTGCGCGCTAAGGGCAGGGAGCTCCGCGGATTTTGCCTTGGCCGGCAGCACTAGATGCCCTTCTCCCCCTCCGTGGGCTCCGCTCGATGTGGTGAGGTCAAGGAGATGCTGGGAGACCGGCACGTTTGGCGCATAAGGCAGAGACGGGAGGAGGAGTGGGGAAGATTATTTTTAGCATCATGTGTTGAGTTGCAGCAATGCAGGGAATACCCGTAAGGCAGACTGTGCCAGTGGCTGAAATGATTCCAGCTGGAGAGAGGGAGAAAAGATCAAACACGGCGAGTGTTTCTAACCACCCTTCTCCCGTCCCCGCCGAGCGCCGCTTCGTGTGCCCAAAGCAGCCGCGGCCCCGGCCCCCTTCCCCCTCCGGGAGCAGGGGCAGGCGGGCAGGCGCCCGGCGGCAGCTCCGCGCTGCCCCGCGCAGCCTTCGCCCTCCCCGGGTCCGCGGTCCAGCTCTGCTGGCCTCTCCTCGGGACCCCCGGGGGACCTACGGAGGCCGCAAAAAGCCGCAAGCCTAGCCGCAAGCAATTCCCATGCCCCATGCTGGGTGCAGAGCAGCTCGCTGCCAGCTCCGCGGGCGGGACCCGCAGCCCCTCTAAGAACAGAGCGGGAGCCGGTGTCCTGCTAGATGGGGACGTAGCGACCCCGGCGAAAAGGAGGTATCTAATTTATCCTAAGCATAACTGCTTTTATTTAAATACCCTCCAAAGTGTCTTCAATACGGCCCCGTTGGGCAAACCGAGCGAAGCCTTGTGCCTTAAAACACCAAAGCAGATACAGATATTCTTCTAATTGGCTGCTCTGCTGGTTCAAATATCCCAGTTCAAACAGACATCTATAACCTATTGTATATAGATTATATTTATCCGTCCCTTGCTTTCGCCCCCAGCCCCGTTCTCCCCCAGCCTTTGGCCACCACCCCCCTGCCCTTGCTTCTGGAAACAGTTACACTCCGAAAGTGTAAATAGAGCAATAATGACAACGGAGAGGCGAGATTTATATAGGGGAGATTTGTGGGTGAGATGTACAGGGCACAAGGCTCCATTTGGCCAACTTCCTGCATTTTTCTTCGGGACCGGACAGGCTCCATATAAACGATTCCCAGGCCATGATTACTGCAGCCACCTATCAAGCGTGCCTGGTGACAGTAGTTATCTCCCCTGCTTCAAGCACAGCCTCCCAGCCGTCCTGGGTGGTCGGAGCGAGGGGAGCACAAATACATGCCAACTGCTAGGCCGTGAACAAAAGGGAAATGTAGCCCTATGTCCCGGACCTGTTGGAAGCATTTGTTCCAGTCAAGATTTTGCATTTGTTCAGATCTGGAATAATAGGTGATTGACGCCTTCCCACAATGTGCTTTAACTCGCTGGGATAAATCGGAGCTTGTTCCTTGTTGTCATGGTTTTCAATAGGGTTCAATGGGATTGAACCACTATCGACTCTGCTTTACGTCTCCGGCAGCCCCGTCCATACAAATTTATTAGTTATGTCTTTTTAAATGCGATTAAATGGGAACGACGTGGCCGTCCTCCGAGGAGCGGCTCCTCCAGGGACGCCCCTCGGTCCCTGCTCCCCGCGCTCACCCCGCTCCGCGGCCGCGCAGGTAGCGYCGAGCGCACCTGGAGCCTGGGGACAGCCCGGGGCTCGGCCGGGCTTCTTACAGCCCCGAGGATACAAGGAGACCGAAAAGGGCTTATTAATATCTTGACCYCACAGGCAAACATTTGCTGAATTTTGGGGGAAGGGGAAGGACTTGGTAAGGAAGGGGAGAGAGAGATTCATAGTGCCACAAACTTACACAGTATCCGAGGTGGCTTTAACTTAAGAGGAGTTTGCTAAGGACACTCTAAAGAAAGTGCAAAAACTTTGCAAGGGAAAAAGTCAGAATGAGAGAAAGAGAGTCTACTTCAGTGACCTCTCTTAGCCTTTTAATCTATTTAACATCCTAAGCCCACACTGATGTGTAGAAATAAGTAAATGGTACTCTTCAAGCCTTAAGAGCTCTTCAGCATCAAATATTTGCACTTACTCTTAGAGGTTTTTTTTCCCAAATAGCACAAGACACATTCTCCTTGGAAGAGCCGAGCTATCTAAATATACCTACGCATTGTTATCTGCGGGAAATAGTTTGCTTCAAAGAGAGAACGAAATAACCTGAACTGTTTCATGTCTTGTTTTGCCTGGAACCCACTTGGCTACGTTTCAGATCTAGCTGCCTGGCCCCATTTCGGGGTCTCCCGGTTCCGATTTCACCCTCTCCCGGGCACTTTGGAGGTGATCCCCGCCACACTGGGTGCTCGCAGGACCGCGGAGCCCCCCAGGACGGTGTCTTCGACCCGAGGAGGCCGATTCGCCCCTCGCCCGCAGTGTCCCCGAGCTGTCCGAGGAGAGACGGGGGGTTCCGACGTGGCCCCGCGGACCCACGCGTRGGCACCAGGCTCTGCACATCCAGCGCGCTCTGTGCGGTTGGTGCCTGTCTCCGTTGGCCCCCTATTAACATACATTAATATATCAACAGAAATTAATATCCGTTAATCTATTTTAATTATTTTATTTTAATTCATCATCTATTTATATATTTAAAGAGTATACTTATCAATGTCTGTTTCCACGCTATTTGCTCCTCGCCAAAGACCCTCTTCGCGCTGCTTAGGGTTCCCAGCTGGACAAGTGATCCAGCTCCTTTGGGGTATCCCCGGGACTGCCTCGAAGCTGCCCCGCTGCCGTCAGGGCTCCCGCCGGCTCTGCGTCCCCCCGAGTTCCTCACAGTGGGGACACTGGGCTCCTAAGAACACCTACGACCGCCTGAAAAAATACGCTCTCCGTATTTTATTTTATTTTATTTTATTTTATTTTATTTTATTTTATTTTATTTTATTTTATTTTATTTTATTTTATTTTATTTTATTTTATTTTTTAGTTTAATTTTTCATTTCTTTTCATTTCGTTTTCCCATTTGTTGTGTGCAGGGGAGGCCTGCGAAGCAGACTGACCAAATCCATGTCTGTGAGATACACAAATCAAGCACTTTTCTGGAACAGTTAACTGAGTCTACATCACGAAAGAGGAGGGAAAGATGGGGAAAATAATTCACTTAGATCAACAAAAAAAGGTATTTTCTCTGTAATTTAAGTATCCTGGCTTTAAGGACCAACTCTGTGTAGCCGCGTGTGGGGCGGGAGTGGCTGTGCAGGGGAAGCCTCGGCACTGGGAGGTTTTTCGAGGGCAGATAAAGCCCCCGAGAGGACAACCCTTGCCCGGCTCATTCCTTTGGGTCGATCTCCCTTACAGCTGGGAGATGTCCAGGTGGGAGCCAAAGGGATCCGTCGTTYGGACCCAGTTCTGTCTCTGGGGACATTATCTTAGTTAATCAGTTCTCTAGCATTAACATTTCCCATACAGCCTCGGCACGGTCGTATTCCAGGAACTCATTTTCAAGAAGAAAATCTTTATTSCCGGACCTTGCAACCTAAACAAATTTTAAAAAGAAGAAGRAAATAAAAAAACARTCGGGGAAAGAGAAGGGACAGGGGAAGGAGRATCTTGTCTAGTGTTGGTCGACAACTGGACACTGATATGGAAAACTATGACTTGGTGATGAGTGCCTTGACAACTTCCCTCTTCCCCTCTCCTACTCCCGCCCTCTCCCCCCCCCCAAAAAAAAAAAATATATATATATATATATAGAGAGAGAAAGACCTAAATCCCTTAACTGCACTGGAAAATGATTCTCTGATCAGAATTTTCTTTTGAACTTTTTTTTTTTTTTTAAATAAGAATACTGGATTCTAGTATTTTAAGCTGTACACAGCGTAAATGTGAGACAGTTAATACTCAGTCTCAATATTTTGTCTTTACTGAAAAGAAAACTGGCCTCACAGAATCCAATGTGAATTTCTAAATCGATTTTAAAACATGCAAGATTTCAATTTTCTACAAAACCAACCTTCTTTTTCCTCTTTCTTATTGTCTCCTCCAGTGAACATTTTCCCATCTTCAAAACTTTTCTCTAAATCACCTTCTAAAAATATGTTTTTCTCTCAGTAACGAATCCTTTATTTTATCTTTAAMTTTTTAGTACAAGTATTTCTTTTTCTCTTTGGTTTGCAATTGATGTGTGTTATGGTACATTTTCTGACTAGGATGATATTCTGGACAGTATATAGTCTTTTCCATGGGAAGGAGTAATGTCTATATAGTGCAGATTGCATTTGTCTCTTCTTYGCCTGTAGAAT